GGGTACTATCAGCCGGGCACTGCATCCAGGTTTATAACAAGCTTGTTAATACTCCTTTTTCATCCAGGATTTTATGCAGGTTTTATCTAAACTGTTTTATCTCTCTTTATTAAAGCTTATAAACAGCTTGCATCCTGCTGATGAGGGCCAACAGCCAGAAACACATTCGTGGTTAGCATTTCTTGATTTATCAAAAAATGGGTTGGCCAAATATCAGGGAACAGACTAAATCAATGTTTAGTTGATTTCTGTTCCACTAGATGGCGCTCTGCCATCTAAAAAAAAACGCTCATGTTAGTATGTGGTCTCTCTATTAAATAACAAAATCCTTTACCCATATATATTTTAAAATTTGAAATGTACTCTCAATGTATGTTGAGGTTGTGGAATTATTCAAAGTTTTTTATTTTTTTCACTGTATTTAGAGAAACTGGATTTCCACTCTGATACCTAATTAAAGGGAGAGATATCTCTTTAGATACAGATTTGATAAGTCACAATTTGGATTATCAAAATTTGAAACTATTATAGACCCGTATGATTCTTTTTAAAAAGAAACAATTTCTACTGTCTTTACTGCAATGGAAAAATTAATGGGAGGGCCTGGCTTATCAGTGGTGAACCCTCCCAGCGGTTTCGCCAATTTAATCTACCATACCGCTGTTATATTGCATTTTTTTGGTTTTCCTTTTATAGTGATACTGATGCTAGACTCTTTGAATGGGTATTTTAGATGAACTATGAACATAAGCTAATGGCACGATAATGCATCATAATTAGGATTATAAGCACAAGGTAATAAGACCAAATTCAAATAAATTAATAGTATGACGTTTCGGACATAATCAATTTGTAATTTATTCTTTAGTCTTATGATGGTAACAATGCTGTTACCGAAACGTCACACACTATTTATTTTATTTGGATTTGGTCTTATTACCTTGTAGCTACAGATAGATATATTGGGGAGAGAGAGATGTCTCTTTTTTTTTATCGATTTCAATATTTATCAGAGAGACAAACATTTCTATTATTTAATCTTTATAGTTTTAGGAATATTTTTAATAATTTTTTTTTTTTAAACACAAGGTAATAAGACCAAATGCAAATAAATAAATAGTGTGTAACGTTTCGGTAACAGCATTGTTACCATCTTCAGACAAAAGTACTACTTCTTTATTATCTATAATCCAAATTGTATCTTATCATAATTTTTTGTTGTTTATTTTTTCAAGGAAAAAAGTTGTAGAAGATAACTTTTAAAGGAATATTTTGTTGCAAGTTGATATGGAGGAAAAGAATTCAGGAGAAAATTGTATTTCTTCCTCATTGAGCAAATACTCGTTTCACTCACGTTGTCCCAACATCCTTATTGATAAAGCACCTTGCTATTGGATCAAGATTGTTATAAAGTTACCAATCCCCCCCATATTTATTACAGTACCTCACTCTTTCAACTTCCCATAACCCTGTGGTTGCCACAGATATGGTTAACCACATTCAAATACACTCATGGACTTAAGGAAGTTGTACCTTTTAGCATGTATATCGGGATTCAGACAATAAAGTACAATTTGGATTATAGATTATAAACACAAGGTAATAAGACCAAATGCAAATAAATAGTGTGTGATGTTTCGGTAACAGCGTTGTTATCATCATCAATTTGTCATTGATTCTTTGATCTGAAGATGGTAACAACGCTGTTACTGAAATGTCACATACTATTTAATGATTTGGATTTAGTCTTATTACCTTGTGTTTACCTTATGATCTCTCAAACACAAGGTAATAAGACCAAATCCAAATAAATAAATAGTGTGTGACATTTCGATAACAGCGTTGTTACCATCTTCAGACAAAAGTGCTTTCATTATTTATTTGGATTTGGTCTTATTACCTTGTGTCTTATTTTTTATTTGTGTCTTATTTGGTCTTATTAATCTATAATCCAAATTGTACCTTATCAGATCATAAGGTATATCAATTAAGGAGGATCAGAAGATGAGTTTCTTTTATTGTATGAATGCTACGAGCTTTCGGGCAAAAGCCCTTCGACAGGCAAAAATATAACTATACAAAGAAAGATAAATAACGATTTATATATATGTTAATCTTAACTAAATTGTTATTTATCTTTCTTTGTATAGTTATATTTTTGCCTGTCGAAGGGCTTTTGCCCGAAAGCTCGTAGCATTCATACAATAAAAGAAACTCATCTTCTGATCCTCCTTAATTGATATACCTTACTAGAAGAGTCTTTACCTTTAGATCATAAGGTAATTTTCATTTCTATTAGATATGGTTTTTGTTTTCTTTTAAGTAGGTGTTGAATTAAAGAGGTTATATATATACTCTCTATTGTAATGGAGACTGTGTGTTTGTCAAAAAAATGTACCAAAGTTGTCCTGTGGTGACAGGTAAATTGTCATGTGTGGGGAAAGTGACTTGTCATCCTCTGTGTGTTACATTGTTCTCACCTTGGGAATTGGCGTTACCTCAACATACCCTCTCTCTGTGTGGCTTCTTACATAGTCTAAAGTATAACCACAGAATTTACTGATAGAAACAAAGCTTCAAGAATTCCATAATCCAAATAACAGTTTCAGTAAGAACCTAAGGTAAATAACAAACAACAACAACAACAAAAAAGCCTTTATTTAGGGTCACTGACCCTATACAGGATTCACCAGAGGTATGCATAAGAACAAAGCAGTAAGACAAAGGAAATAACGATATATACAGAGTAAAAAGAGAAAGAAAAAAAACAAGAAAAGGAAAAAAAAATAATAAGAAGAAGAAAGAGGGAAGCAAGAAATCAACACAAAAAGAGTAGCGGTAAGAAAGTGAGGAGTGAGTATCACTTGGCCTTCTTCTGAGATATGGACTTGTGGAAACCATAAAACGCCGTAGCAATATACTTATTCTGGGTCATATTGTCAATTATTGATGGAAGTGAAGCAAACCCAAGGTAAATAAAACTAAATCCAAATTAATAACTTGTGCACAATGATTTGATACAGTAGAACCTCCATGAAAGGACACTCTAGGTAGAGGACACCTCTCTACAAAGGACAGTTTTAAAAAAAAAAAAATTATTATTATCCCATTGTATATTCATACAAGGTCATGAAGACTATATTCATTGATCAAATTCACAATCTTGGCAGGGTTAAGGACAGTTTTAATTTTGCAAAATTACCATTTTTACTATTTAGCAACTCTCCGGTAAGAGGACACCTCTCCCTAAAGGACACTTTGGCTCTAATCACGAAAAAAATTGTCCTTAATCTAAAGTGAAATGATGTTCAATGATTGTCAACCTTTCTATTGGAGATGACGCTATGTGTTGACACTATTAGAGAAATTATGCAAATTTTACAGATATTTATATACATACCACATACGTATATTCTGACTGTGTTGTTGCCAGATGCAACTTAAGTCAGTCACTCTCGCCATCCTGGTGGTGGAAACATCATGTCTGGTCCTCCTGCTGAGGTATTCCCGGACCATGGATCAGCCATCTGGCCGCTACCTCTCCTCGACGGCCGTGTTCCTGGCAGAAGTGGTCAAACTGACCACCTCTTTCTTCTTCCTCTTTCTCCAGTCTGGTAGGTTCTCTGCTCCCTATAAATGTGTGGAAAGATATCTTTATTTTTTTTTTATATAGATCAATATTTTTGAAAATAGAGCAATCCATAAATAAATCTTTAATTAAAAAGGCATATATTGGATCACAAGTGTTGACACACACATGTTATAATACCTTGATAAAGGTTGGCGTTCAGCCAACTGAAATATTGGTACAATAAATTTGATAAGGCACAATTTTTGGATTATAGATTATAAACACAAGGTAATAAGACCAAATCCAAATAAATAAATAGTGTGTGACGTTTCGGTAACAGCTTTGTTACCATCTTCAGACAAAAGTACTGAAATACATCAGGGTTATAAACACAAGGTAATAAGACCAAATCCAAATAAATAAATAGTGACGTTTCAGTAACAGCTTTGTTACCATCTTCAGACAAAAGTACTGAAATGGTACAATAGATGATATTTTGATCCAATATATGTATTTTTAATTATAGATCAATATCTCCTCCCCAAAAAAAAAAAAGATTCTGATGCATAATACTGGCCAAAAAGACAGAGAAACAAATATTATAGGGGCAATTTTCAGTGTGCTGATTCCAAATTTGTAAACCCTTTCTTTCTATCAGCTCTTGTTTTAGAGGTGCATCGTTGCCAACTCATTATTCCCACCCTAAAATCAGCCAATGCTATCAATAAGAAGACGTTGCATTGTGTGGCACCAGCTGTATCAGGTAAAATTTTTAATAAAGAAAGCAAAATTTGAAAAAAATAAATAAAAATCCTCTCATCAAAAGTTTCATCTATAATTTGATCAATTTTTAAAAAAATATCCCATTGTATAATTATACAAGGGCATGATAAAGCACAATTTGGATTATAGATTATAGCTACAAGAAAATAAAACCAATATCCAAATAAATTAATAGTGTGTAACGTTTCAGTAACAGGCATTGTTACCATCATCAGACAAAAGAATAAATCAATTTATTCATTTTTTCTCTTGTCTAATGGTAAAAACACTGTTACCTAAACGTCATAACCTATTAATTTATTTGGATATTGGTCTTATTATCTTGTAAATATACAAGGCCATGGAGACTGAATTCAGATTAAAATTATAATCTTGGTAGGGTTGGGGAATATAGGTCCTGTCTTGAGGCTCCCATGAATTCCAAGAGGTGGTCTGGTGAGGTCTCTTTGGTCCTGTAGATGGTGTATTGTGGGAAGACACCATCCTGGAAGAGGAGCGGTCTTGTATGGTCAGATTTGAACCTGGAAATAGGGTAATTTGACCATAGAATTGATCAACTACTTTGCCAGCTAAACGGCCGTATAACAGGTTAGTTTTACCATATGGGTCATTGCCACATAATTCCTGCTCAGTATGAGAGGAACTACAGGTAGGGACATTTGGTCAAACGTCCAATGGCGTAAAGCTACCATCCAAGGGATTACGACTGAATGCCTCTAAGTTGGAATTACGGATATCGATTGCAACGATACTGTTGTGTCCCCATTATTTAACGATGCAAATAGCCGACTTCCTCATGGAGTCTGCGATCAGACTTTCCTGGCAAATTCTTACGATTTCATTTGATCCCTTGTGGATCTCGTGGAATAAAGTCCGCCCTGGACTGACAAGGGCCATTAGCCCTGATCTCCAGATGGTCACTTCTAAATATGCCAAAACTGATGTTGTTACTTTGTCCACTAGTACGCAAGTTTGCATAGACAGTCAATAGATGGCACTGTTTAAATATCGTATTTTGACATTGTATCTTTATTTTTCTAAATCAATATCCTCCCCCTGGTAAAATTTCGATCTAAGATAGATTTTATTTAAAGATTTATTTATGGATTGCTCTATTTTCAAAAAAATATATATTACTAGACGGGTGACCCAGGCTTAGCCCCGGGATTGACCCATGTGCATATCTACTCAAGTGATATATATTTAGATAAGATTTTTTTAAATAATTGTTTGTTATTAGCATTATCTATTTGTTTGCATCAGCATAATTTAATCTAATCTTTGATAGAGGGCGCTGTTCGTGAGCTAAGTAGAATAATTTGAATATAGTTTTAATAATTGATTTATATATTTTTTTTAAATAGCCTATCGTCTTCCCCGTATTTTTTTACCTATGTAAGGAAATTTTGGTTTGAATTAGTGAACTACTGTGAATTTGTATACCGGACATGCAAACATACAAACATTCATTTTTATCTATATAGATAAAACAAAAAATATATATTTCTGTTGTATTTTAGAATTGTTGATATTATGCTAAGGTAATGCAGTCGTGGTTAAATCTTGAAAGTATGATAATAAAAATAATTTTGATCAGTAATTCAATTGAACTAAAGGAACATATAAAAGAACATAACTTGATAAAAGCAATGCCTGGCTTAAGGCGAGTAGAATAAGGAAAACAAAAGATTATTTACATAATGTACAAAAGTTTTTAGCCGACCAACGGGATACAACAACAACAAGTTTTTATAGGGGAAGCGTGACCTCTGGCTGTCGATTTAACAGAGTATTTGTATCTATGATATATAATTTTAAATAAAATAATATTTTAATATAACTTTTTTTTTTTCTGTTTCATTGGTAAGTTCACAGTTCTTAAACCAAGTGAATACAGAAGATTCTCTATGAATATGTAAATTACATATAACCTCCACTGAGGTCTGTCTTGTTGCAGGTAAAGATCTCCGTCAGTTCGGAGAGCTCCTCCACAAGGAAGTCTGGAGGAAGCCGCTGGAGACACTCAAGATGTCGGGACTCGCAGGACTCTACACCCTCCAGAATAACCTCACCTATCTGGCACTGACCAATCTGGAGGCAGCAACCTATCAGGTGATCTTCTCTCTATTCTGATTGGTTGGTTGTATAGTCTCTAGCAATACCTGGGGGTTCAATCACTCACTGACCTGAACAACTTCTTTTTTTACAAATTCTTTAATTAAATAAGTCAAATGAGACCTAATTTGGATTATAGATTAAAAACACAAGGTACTAAATTAATACAAAGCAATAACGCGCCATTTATACATATAAAATGAAAGGATTTAAAAGCACGAATGTTTCTTTTATACATAATACAAACTTATACTGCCCTTACTGCGATGAAAAAATATATTGGGAGGGCTTGGCTCATCAGTGGTGAACCCTCCCAGCGGTTTCACCAATTTAATCCACCAGACGCTTCTAAGAGCTCCAATACTGTATTGGACGAGGACAAGGTACTAAGATCAAATCCAAATATATAAATAGTGTGTGAAGTTTCAATAACAACATTTTTGACATCACACACACTATATATATGTAACGTTGGACGATTACCTTTTTGAGATGGGTTGAGTTGATTGGTGATTGTGGTGGGCGCAGTCGTGTTTGCTGAGTTGGTAAGGTATTCACACAGGGGAAAAATAACGAGGACAAAGAATTGAATTGAAATAGGCCAGCGATCAAGGGAGAAAGGGGTTTTAAGCTATTTGGCGGATTTGACTATTAACTATGGCTGTTCACATTATTGAGGATTGGACTTATCTGATCATTGAGAAGATGGTGGCTGGCTCCTAACTGGTCTCGATGGTGCTGAGCTTCTGACTGATCTCAATAGTGCCACGTTCCTGACTGGTCTCTATGGCGGCGAGCTCCTGACTAACTAAACTGAGTTCGCGATTTAACACGAAAACTTCTCAGGGCTCTGATTGGTTGATGGTCGACTCGTGTAAGCTTTCCATTGGTTCCTAGCTAATCCTCCTGGACTCTGATTGGATCTTTGCTAATCCTTTGTTCTTGTCTTGTTCTGACATGATCCCGGAAACGAAGGTTCTTGAACTCAGTTTTATGAGTTCCTGGATAATAAAACCTGCTAATGACTGTTTCCTCTTTGATGGCCTTTCTCTCTAAACCTTTCTCCCAGATTTCTAAGCCTTGTCTTTTTTAAAAATCTTTAGATCATACATTGCATACATATTGTGGTGGGATTACACCCAGTTATGTACAAATTATGACATATATATATATTTTTTTTTTTGGATTTGGTCTTAGTACCTTGTGTTTTATTTATACCTAATCATAGTATTCTACAAGAAAGATATACGTACCTAGGTTATTCTTTTTATATATATATAATGATCTCATGATTATAGGAATTAAAAATTTTGAATAACTAGTTATAAGAATTATAGGAATTTTGTTTATTATTTTAAAAATGTATTGCAGAGTATTTTACTTTCCGAATAGTTAATTATACCTAAACATGGCCATTGTGCAGGTGACGTACCAGATGAAGATCATCACAACAGCCATCTTTGCTTCCCTTGTCCTCCACAAGCGACTCTCCCTGCTGCAGTGGATCTCCCTGGTGTTGCTGATGGTTGGAGTGGCCCTAGTGCAGGTACCTACTCTATTTACATACTTCCCTCCAAGTTGAACTACTTTTCACATGTGTAGACATGTGGTGCACTTCCAGTAAAAGCAGTCGCCTTCTTCTACCCACTATGAATATCATGGCCTGTACCACGTGTACTAAGGATAAGCAAAAAAAATATATATATGAATGTTATATTAAAATATTATTCTATTTAAAATTATATTTCATAGATCCAAATACTCTGTTAAATCGACCGCCAGAGGTCACTCTTCTCCTATAAAAACTCATTGTTTTATCCCAATGGCCGGCTCAAGCCTTTTGTACATTATGTAAATAAGTTTTTGATTTTTTCATTCTCTTACGCCTTAAGTCAGGCATACCTTTCTCAAATTATGTTTTCTATATTCCATAAACTCAATTAAAGAAATCTCTGATCAAAACCATTATTATTTTATTTCAAGATTTTTAACCACGACTGCATTACCATAGCATAATCCTCAATTAATCTTAAAACAACAGAAATCTCATCTTTATTTATAATATATATATACTTCCCTTCTTTCTGGACATTCTGATGATCAAAATATTCTTCTTCCGTCTCAATTTATATGCTCTTGAGCAGGTCTCAGGCTCCATACTGCTCTCTCTTTTTTTTTTTTTTTTTATAGAGTCTCCCTTCCATCCAATCCATCAGTCCAATTATGTTGTTGTTTCTTATCCACCCTTGTATAAAGATTTAATGAATTCCATGAGTCCATGCTCCTCGAGCTGTTTGATAATAAACAGTGGCCTCTCCCAAAGGTCCTGTTTAATGTATCTAATATACACCAAAATGTGTTCTGGAGCTGCAGTTACCAATCTACATTTTGGACAAGTGGGGTAGATTTTGTTGTTATTTTCTATCTTCAATGGCTTGAGATGGCCTGGTATAAATCTTGTTAGTGTTTGATGCTGTCTGAGGTTCAGAGCTCCTCCTGTGTTCACTCCACTGTACCAACTGTGCTTAGGTGAGATCCTCCAGTTCTCGCTTATTTTTGTTTTGTCCAATTCTTCTTACAGTTAAAGCAGTTGCCTACCTCTACCCACCATGATTATAATGGCCTGTACCACCTGTACTAGGTATAAGCAAAAATAAAAAATATATATATCCAAAGAAGAATAGGGCGCCTCTCCCATCAAAATAAACGTCAAAACCTGATGCCATCTATTGACCGTCGCTGGTGTTGTGGCTTTGTCACCGACTCAAGGCCATTAGTTTGCGGCAACGGTCAATAGATGGTGTCAGGTTTTGACATTTATTTTGACAGGAGAGGCGCCCTATGCTTCTATGGATCAATTTCCTCCTGGCAAATTTTCCATCTACATATATATATATTTCACCAATATTGAAGCCAACCATGTTGTCCAGCTCACCATCTCAGAGTCAGATGACTCCAGCACCACCCCCGAAGGATCTCCCATGATAGGACTGCTCAGTGTGTTTGCCGCATCCGTGCTGAGCGGATTCAGCGGCATCTACTTTGAGAAAGTCATCAAGGGGACCTCCCAGTCCCTCTGGATCAGAGAAGTCCAGCTCAGTGAGTTGTCACAACTTGGATTATCAATCACCTGGAGCAGTATACAGTAGAACTACCTCCCTGTAAAGGACACCTAATTGCAGAGACAAAGTATTCTTTAGAGAGAGGTGTCCTCTTACCGAAGAGTTACTAAATTGTAAAAATGGTAATTTTGTAAAAGAAAACTGTCCTTTGTGGAGAGGTGTCCGCTAAAGGGAGGTTCTACTGTATTATCAAAAGTACAAAATTGTGAGACTGAGATTATAAACACAAGGTAATAAGACCACAAATCCAAATAAATAGTGTGTGACGTTTCAGTAACAGAGTTGTTACCGAAATGTCACACACTATTTATGTATTTGGATTTGGTCTTCTTACCTTGTGTTTATATAAGATATAATATATTTAATACATAAATTGAACCATTGTTATAACTGCCCCTTTTATAAAAACACAAGGTTATAACATCATATTTTTTAAAGTCCCAAGTTTTAAGTGTCCATTGTTTTAACTGTAGATATAACAACAACT